TAAGATATGGTGATATAGCCCAACTCATGTATGTACAAATTAATTCTTAAATATTGAAAGTGCTAATCAAACATTGAACTCTAGATGTTTCATTTTTTATTTTATTGACAAGACTCCTACTATCAAGGAATATCACTCTCTTGCAAATTGAGGCTTATTCTTATTACGATGAGGGGCTTATAGTGAAAAGAGTTTTATCAGAATTCTTAGGCAAGACGAGGGTGAATAAGATTGAAAAACATGTAAAAAAGGTGGAGAAAATACATGCATACCAATAGATTACATGTTGAATCTTTGGCAGAAATTTGCGAATCAAGAAAAAGAATTGTAATTTCTAGCATTGTGCATTTTCATCTCTATTTTAGTCTCCAAAGTGAGGAGCGAGTGGTTAAGTTTTTTGCCAAAGTAGAAATATGAGTTGATCCTATTGTATCTCTGTTAGCATAATTCTGTTTTCTAAATTATTGTAGAACAAAAGGAACATGGAAGTTTTTAGGATGTGCACAATTATTGTACATTTGGATTCTTAGTCATATAAAGTGTCTATCAGAATTAGCTTTAATTTTCAAGCTCTTGAAATAAATTGTAGAATCTCATCTCTGATCCATTCAATTTGGGTGGAGCTAGACTAATCCAAGTGAGGAAGAATGGAATACCTACTTTGGGAAAATGAGATTCTGAAATTTATTCCTGGAGCGTCAAACACTGTGGACACTTAAAGAATCCAAATGTACAATAATTGTGCATATCCTAGAAACTTTTCTGTTTCTTTTGTCTTGAAATAATTTAGGGAGTGAATTGATCAACTCCTCTTTTCACTTTGGCAAACAACTTAACCACTCGCTCTACTGCGTATTTGTTGACTTTGGGGAATAAAATTGCGTTGAAAATACACAATGCTAGTAATGACATTTTTTTTTTATTTGCAAATTTCTACCAAGGATTCAAAAGTAATCTATTGGTATGCATGTATTTTCTCTTGTTCTTTTTTACTTGTTTTTCAATCTCATTCACCTATATCTTGCCTAAGAATGCTGAAAAAGCCATTCTTGCAAGCACCTCATTGTGAGAATAAAGTCCTGGCACTTGCGAGAGATAATATACATATTGCTCAGTAGTAGGAGTCATGTCAATAGAATCAAAAGTGAAACATTTATATAGGCTGAATCTCAATGTTAGATTAGCATTTTCAATATTGAAGAGTKAAGTGGGATCCCAACATACTATCTCTCTCTTTTTAAAGCTCCAGTGGCGGTTTGTAAGAGTCTGGAGAAGATCATGAGAGACTTTTTGTGGGAAGGGGTGGATGAGGGGGGTGGTGCTCATGCGGTTAACTGGGAGGTGGTTGCCAAGCCGGTTGAGGCTGGAGGTTTGAGGCAGAGAAATGATGCGTTTCTAGCTAAATGGTTGTGGCGGTTCTTCCACGAATCCAATGCTTTGTGGTGAAAGGTTATTGTGAGTAAGTACGGCCCCAACCCTTTCGAGTGGGTGGCTGGCGGAAGGCTCAAAGCTTGCGCGAGTAATCCTTGGGAGGCTATTTCCGCTGGTTTTCCCATTTTCTCTCAATTCCTAGCTTGTACTGTGGGGGATGGTCATGCACCTATTTTTGGGAAGATATCTGGGTGGGAGAAAAGCCTCTTTGTTCTTTCTTTCCTCGTATTTATCAATTATTAGATAAGAGATCGCATTCGGTGGCATCGGTGTTGGAGAATGGGGGGGATGGGTTGTCCTCGTCCCTGAGTCTCACTCGGTCTTTGATAGATAGGGAAGTGTGGGAAGTGTCGGAGTTGATCCTTTTGCTCTCTGATTGTTCCCTCTTTTGTGATAGAAGGGATTGCCGTGTTTGGTCCCCTAACCCTTCTAGGGGCTTCTCGTCCAGTTCCTTCTTCAACCTTTTATGTTCCTTTTCTCTTCCTTCGGTAACCCCAGCGTTTACCCCGTTGTGGAAAGTGAAGATCCCAAAGAAGATAAAATTTTTCGTGTGGCAGGTCTTACTTGGGAAAGTCAACACCATGGATCGTATTCAAAAAAGCTCGGCCGCTTGCTTGGGGCCGCATTGGTGCGTTCTTTGTAAGCAGGATTTTGAGGATCTTGATCATATCTTTATGGCAGTGCCAATATTCCCAGAGAATTTAGGGTCGGCTCTTTGAGATGGTTGCTATTTCTTGGGCTCGTCATGGAGGGTGGGGATCGATGGTGGAGGAAGTGCTTATGTCCTCTCCTTTCCGTGAGAAATGGAGTTTCCTTTGGCGGGCGGGTTTCTTTGGGATCATGTGGGGGATTTGGTTGGAGAGAAACAATAGAATTTTTAGGGGGTGGAAAGAGAGTGGGAGTTTGTTTGGGACCTCATAAGGTTAATGTTTCTTTATGGGGGTCTTTTACGAAATTGTTTCGTAACTATCAGTTAGGTCATATTCTTTTGGATTGGAGGCCCTTTCTTTAGTTTGGCTTCCCTCTTTAGGGCTTTGTTTTTGTATGCCCGTGTACATCCGTTTTGTTTTCATTATTCTCAATGAAAAGTTTGGTTTCTTATAAAAAAAAAAATTTGTACATACATAAGTTGCACTATATGGTGCATATATTTTAACGAATGAGGTTTTTCTATCTGGCCTAAACCTTCCCATGCTTGTTTCGTGACATCCAATTGATATTTTGGAAAAGTCATGCCTTGAAATAGTATGACAACATTTTCTGATAAGTACTAGTCACCATGATTAGGCTGCAATTCTCTAACCATTGTCGAACTGATTATTGGCTTTCTTCTCCCCATTCTTGGAAAAAATGAGAGTCAAAGGAATAAAATTAATACATAAATAAATAAATCAATTTAATTATAATTTAGGTATGATACAGAAGTTGTATATTAGTGATAAATTCGAAGTAAAAATTGGTAAGCTGAAATGGACATTCAGACCGCTTAATAATTCTACAATGTTATGATGTTATCTATTTTGCTACTCATGATGGTGCAATCTTATGTAGGCAATTATCAAATTTGACCATTGATTTTTGTCACAATTCACATGATTGCAAGTGCTTAGATTACACAAAAATAGAGAATATGTTCTTCTTGAGGATTCAAACCTTCCAAAGTAAGGAGAACAAAGAACCATTGAGGAGGGTCGACCTACAAAGAATAGAAAAATAAGAGCTATAAGAGAAATTCTTGGATGGGCTAGGAGACCAAAAACGAATATCCCTAACTCTGGTCCGAGGGTAAAAAGTAGTAGCCAGCAAGAACAAGAGCAAAGAAACATCTGAAGACCCATGATCTGACAATGAACGACTGAAACCATAGTTGAACGATAGGGAATCTCCAATGAGAACAAGAATAGGCGCATTGGGTACAGCAAAGACGAATGATAAAAACTAGGAAAGAGGCAACAGAGGGGACTATCCCCCAGCCAATAGTCCTCCCTAAAGAAAACCGCTGCCCCATCCCCGACAATAAACCTGATAAAGCTCGAGAAATTCAAGTACCCCAGGGGAATAGCTCTCACTGGTTCCTGAAAGTGCCTTAGATCTTATGATTGGAAATTAACTCGGAAGGATGAGAGTCATACTTACTCACAATGATCCTATGCCATGGAGCAAGATCTTCAAAGGGGAAGCACCAAAGCCATTTAGTGAGTGGGGCCTCTTTATGGCGGAGCAACAAATTACCGATGCCTAGCCCTCAGCTCTCTGATCGAGATTGGTTTCAAAACAATCTCCCATCTAACCAATCAAGAACCCATCCTGTAAGAAATCTCTAAACAAATCAATTTTAGAACTCACCGATGGAGGGATTCTAAAGAGAGACTTAAAATAAATAGGAATTTGAATTTCAATCAACATCGATTAGATGAGCGTTAATCTCCCACCTTTTGAGAAGAAAACATTTTTCCATGAGGCAAGTTATATGAACCTTTTCAATCACCGAGTTCCAGAAAGCAACATGCTTAGGGTTGTCTCTCAAAGGAAGGCTTAGGTAATTGAACGGAAGGGATCCTACCTCGCAACCCACTAAAGAAGCCTATCTCTCAATCTTAGACTCCTCACAATTACTCCTGAAAATAACGCTTTTCGGAATTTGAGAATTTAATGGTCCCGAGATTCTGCTGCTTGCTTTTCCTGTTACAAGTACCCTGGAAGATGCAAAAAAGTGAATAAAATGAGTTATACAACAAAAAAGTATCAAAACCATCAAGAAGCCAGAGTTGTTTAACACCTTACGTGTATGGGTTTCCAGTTCCGGTCCAAGATTTGAGATTTCAAACCAACAATCCCGTGCCTGAACAACCTTCTTTCCTTTCCCTGTAACATTATATGAAATGACAACCAATAAAAGGGACAGATCAAAATCACCTGAACACATGGAAAAATCAAACCTAATGACAAATCAAATTATATTTACCTGCTGTTCATGTCTAGTGTATAGCTCCTCAAACTCTTGCTTCAGCAGTCAGCCAAACCAGGTGCCTCATGGTATTCATTCAGTTAGCTCCTTTTTGAAGAAAAGTGGTATTCAATTGGCCCATCTTTTAGGTCCCATCATTCTAAAAGCCACCCTATAAGGTTTCTTGGTGGCTCATGAAAAAATTCCCGTTTTCTATTTTGAACAAACAAATATGATGTGAGTTAGTCTTCCAGCTTGACCTCAACAATCTCTGAGTTTAAATTCTCAGCCGGGCTTTTTACACCAGCTCTAGAGTTTAGGGATGTGATTCCTATCTTGTACTTTTCGTCCAGTCAATGGAAACTATTGTTTCTTATCAAATCAGATACTTATCCACTTTTATTATAGTGTGGATTCTTTGTTTTGTTTTGTTTTTACATTTTTTAACTTTCTTTACTCTGTAACACGTGTGGTTCAGAAAAACAAAATTTTTTTACCTTTTCATTTTGATTTTATTGTCAGGTTCTATTACTTGTAGTCTTATAGGTTGCAAGATATAATGAGAAAATTCAATTTGTTCACATTTCATTGGCATTTTCATCTCAGAAATTCTTGTTTACAGTGTCAGGTTATCATCCACCCTCATAGATGGAGATGCTTACTACAAATTCTGGTGCCATGCTACCTCTTCTACCCCCAGGTACAAGCAACTAGGTTCCAAATGGATTTATTGATTCAACGTGAGAGGAAGCTAATGGATTTCATTATGATAAAAAGGATAAATACAACAGGAGAGCGGGATAGGTCATTACTAAGCTTGGGAACGTATAATTTAGTTTAGCTGGTATAGATGGTATAAATCCTCTGGCAATTTGATTGTTGGGATAACATTTTTGTCCCTCAATGTGTTTATACGAAACAAAATTTGTCTTGAAGTATTAGATAAGCATTGTGGTACTTGAAGCTGCTCATTTCTCATACATACACATGTATGTGAGTTGTGATACTGCCAAATCACAACTTTTCATAGTTTTGAGGTTTCAATATTTAGTCAGCTAATGCAAGGTGGAAATGATGAATCATAACATCTTTGATCGTTTTTTGGGATGTATGTTTATTTACACTAAGTTGTTTGGGGAGTCAATTTTCACTATTGGCTGTTGTGATAAGTTAAGGTTTGTCGAGTGCGTGCCTATATTCATATCATTATATATTTAATTTTCTTTTGGCCTTGTATGTTATCATCCAAGATTTAGAAGTTTCAATATATTTCTGCTTAGGTTAATAGTGGAATTCATTTCTTATGATATCCTTTAACTTTAAAAACCATCACATTTACACTGGTTCTCAATAAATTTTTTTTTTTTTCTATTGCCATTAAGTTTACAAAACTTTTGATACTTGGTTGTACTATCGTCTTGCAAAATAGTGGGTCGGCATTGGGGAAGAACAAAGGCCAAGAACTTCCATCTAGGAAGGGATAGTTTCCAACTTCAACCTCTTAATGGAAGGATACAACAAGTGGTTGCTAAAGTGGGACCGCTTTTTCTCAAACCAATTCCATCTATTGGGACAAGGGAAAGTGTTCTATATTCTAGTAGAAAGACCAACGCTTTCACATGTTTTGCTGCTTTGGTGAGTTGGTTCTCCTTCTATTTGTTTGTTTGTTTTTTTTTTTTAATGCTTGCTTCTTTTCTTTTGGCATTGAGTTATATTCTTCTCTTTTTACTTGAAAGTTTCTCCCCTTTGGTAGTTGGTAATAATCTTTTATTAGAAACTTTACGTAAGTATCATGAAATGTACCATCTTAAGCTTAGATGCCAAGGGAGATTATCAAAAGGCTTCCCAATTTGTTGAAATGAGAAATAATTTTATTGGAGGAAGTACAAAATAATAGTAGTTTATAAGGAAGTCATATTGCGTAATCCATCCTTCTTTCTATAACTGCTCCTTGCTTGTTCTTCACTTTACCGTCCTTTGTCTGATAGAGGGATGTTAGATGTTTTGGCTTTTCTTTCCTTGTTAGGTGATAACGTTGTGAATTGGGGGAAGAAGGATTTTTGTTATTGGATACCTAATTCTTCCCATGGGTTACCTTGTAAATCCTTTTTCCTTATTTTGCACAATCCCTCTTCTCCCAGCCTCCCGTTATTTTCCTTGTATCCTCGGGCATTTTTCCTTTCTGTTGGGGCCCCAATGTACTTTCTTTGGAAGGTTGCGTTTGAAGACCTAGATCATATTTTCTAGAACTTTTGGTTCGCTTGCTCAATCTGGGGTAGTTTGGTTCTAGTTTAGCTTGGAACAGAAGTTTTCGCTCTTTGATGGAGGAGGTTCTTTTACACCTGCCCTTTCATGATAAGGGTTGAAACCGTTGGTGTGTTGGATTTTTGCTCTTTTTTGGGGCTTTTAGCTTGAGAGTAGTAGGATTTTTAGAGGGATTGAGAGTTAAGATGTTGATCTCGATCATATTCTGTAGAACTGTCATATTTGAGTTTTTGTCTAAAGTTGAGTTGACTAAAGCAAAATAAAAATATTTAATGATGCACTTTGTCTGCAGAATGCTAGATGTGCAGCGGAGCAGACCCAAACAGTTACAAGAGAGGCTCCCACAATCACTGTTCTTCCTGGTAACAATCACCTACAGATTTTATGAATACTAGTAACTTTTAACATGGTCCGAAAATCGATCTCTGAAGCAGAACTCCATTGTCTGTCTCTCCTTGAAAATAAGTTGCATCGCTATGCTTTTGTTGATTTGTCTTTCTCCCTCTCAAACACACACAGCGTTGGCTTAGGCACTATCACAATTTCGGCTGTTGCTTTAAGCATTATATTTTCGAAAATTTCAGGCAAGGAGAAGTCACCGCAACTGGATGATGGTGATTCTGGCTTTCCACCTCGTGATGATGGTGATGGCGGTGGGGGAGGTGGCGGTGGCGGAGGCAACTGGTCTGGTGGATTCTTCTTCTTCGGCTTCCTTGCTTTTCTAGGCTTCTTGAAAGATAAAGAAAGTGAAGGGCCTTATCAGAATGATAGGAGAAGATGAATATAGTTTGATATATAATATAATGTAGATCCTAGATTTATACTTGGATACAATCTCGAAATAAACATTTGTTTCTAGTCATGTTAGTCTCCATTAATTCATTTGAACCTTGAGTTTCCAGAGATGTCATTTGGAATTTCTGTAGCCAGAGATATAAAATGGTGGAGAAAGAAAGGCAGAAGTTAAAACACAGCATTTCTACATTTACAAGGCAAAAATAGCAAGTGTTGAAGATGAAGATGGTTGGAATTGGCAAAGCTTATGTGTGATTGTGTGGAGTTATTTAAGCAGAAGCTGAGGGATTCTGATCAAATTTTAGTTTTCAAGACCCACACTTGTGATGCCTACTGCCATTTCTTTTCATTTTTTTTGGTTTACACATTCTTGAGTTGGGTTAATTTGGTACCTATTACTGGGTCCATTAATACTTTTTGTATTCTTTTTTATAATTTTACTTGGGCCAAGCTATTAAATTTTCATTGACGTGTAAGACATTTTTATGTATTTGATATCGACATTTTTATAGTAGTACAAACAATTCGTTAAAATATTTAACATATCAACGACATGTCATTATTGTAGACGTAATATTAATCCTTCTAAATTTATTAAGAAATAATGAAAAACTTATTTGTAAATTTAAATATTTTTTATGATATTTTGTTTAATTTTTATAACATTTTTAGAAACATCCAAGGGCAATGACTTTTTCATGAAATTGAACTGAGACATTTTTATGACAATCTAATACCTTGCTTGGGGTGAAGGTTTTTTTTCTTCTTCTTCTTCTTTTTTTTTTTTTGTTTGAAGATTAGTAATTATAGTCAAGGTTTTAAATTTCGGTCGACATCGACATGTTTCACATGTTAATGAATTCGGTGAATTGATATTTATATTATATGGCAAAAAATTGACCAAATATAAAAAATATTAACAAAATATTGATATTTTTCACATGTTAATGGCTTCGACATTGACAACAAAATATCACTAATATGAAAATAATATTATTATTTATAGTTTTTTAACTTTTTAAACTTATTTAATAAAAAGTAAAATGTTTATTTGTTAAATTAAATATTTGTTTTGAATTTTGTTTCTTACAAGTTTTCTATAAATATTTACCATATATACATTTTATCAATATTTTCATAGACATTTACATAAAATTAAGTTCTCGATATTATCGATATCAACATTTTAATAAATGTACTATGGTTATGCGAAAGATGAACAAACGAGGATAATTTTTTTGTCAAAAAAAGACAATATTCTAACCGAAGGATGGCTAGAGATTTTTTTAGTAGAAACACTAGTCCCATCAAGTTATAATAAGAGTATTAATAAATATTTAATTTATATCAATTTATCTCCTAACATATTTGTAAACATTTTAGAAAAATTCTTATCCACAGCTTATTTGGATGTAGCTATTGCTAAACTTAAAAAGAATTTAAAATCTCTCTCAACGAAGATATAATATCCCTTTTTAAGCATCCTCCTCATCTTAATTCACATGTTAGGTGTTCGTGTATGGGAATGTCCCTCTAAATAATTAAATTTATCTCTCTGTATGAATTAGTTGATCTGCAAGACAAAGATGAGTACTCAAATACTTAAGTCAGTAGTGGCTGGAGAAATGAGTAGAGTATATTTTAGAAGGGAGTCAAACATACATTGGTAACAGATTACCAATACTTTTTTTTGTAAGTGAACAAAGGCGAATTGGTTAACTAGGAAGGTCGAGATTCACTCTGCGGATCTCGATGGCCAGACTAGTGATGGGTGCTGACTACACTTAGTCAAGCATTGTCTTTCCTATGCATGGATGATGGTAATGGTAGGACGAGATCGATCTGGTTCACCATTCATAGCTTCACTGACGTCACCAGGTCAGCTACCTCATTCGATGCTTGACACATGGTAGTTCATTTTTCATCGTCATAACATTAGGTATCAAGAGATCAACAATTTGTTTTTTCAATAATGATTAGTGGAAGTTAAGAAACAAATAGTGGGTTCTTGATTGAAACATGTAAACTATTTGGGCAGCAAATAATGGAATTGTTGATAGTGATGTATATAAGCTATTTGGATAACTATTACATTGGCAGATTCTATTGGAGGAGGTTTTACTGTTTCCTCCCATTCCGTGGGGATTTAGATTAAGAGAAATAATACAATCTCTATCGAGTGAGAGATCTAGAGAGTATGTTCGATAGTTTATTAGATTTATCACTTGAGTCAGTTTTTAAAGGACGTTTGATAATCATTTTTGTTTTTTATTTTTGTTTGTGATTTTTCTATTTTTAAAAAATAAAAACCATATTTGTTTGATAATTATTTTTTGTTTTTTCGTTTTTAAAAAACAGAAAACAAAACATGTTTGTAATCTTTTTAGTTTTCTGTTTTTAAAAAGTTAGAAAATTGGAAATATATATAAGAGAGAAACTTCTATCTAGATTAGAGAGGACAATAATGTGGGAGGAATGAAGATGGACTTAATAACTGATGAGTTGTATTTGTTATAAAGTGGTTAATTATTGTTGTATTATGTTACAAGTTTCAGTTGTATATGAAGTCTTTATATACTGATGTAATAATGGAAAATAAATGAGAAGCATATTCTCTAGTCATTAAGAGAATAATTTCATGGTATCATACTTCTATTGACCCACGTCTCGATCCAAAACCACGTGTCCGCTTCCATTACTGCTTGTTTCTTCTTGCGGTGAAGTCTCTTCTTGCGGTGAGTTTTCATGGCGTAATCCAATATCTCGAAGGATCTTGCTTCTCCAATATTTCTTCTGTCCAATATATGCAATCGTTTCTCTATTAGACTCGATTCATCCAATTTTGTTCTATGGAAGTTTCAGTTAACTTCAATTCTAAAAGCGCACAAGTTATTCGGCTTTGTGGATGGTTCAACCAAGAAGCCATCTCTGTTTCTGAACGATGATTCTACTCAACCTAATCCAGCGTATGAAGATTGGATCGCCAAGGATCATGCCCTAATGGCCTTGATCAATGCAACACTTTCTACTACTGCTTTAGCTTTTGTTGTTGGTTGTGTAAATTCTCAGGAAGTGTGGTCTACGCTTGTGAAGCATTACTCGTCGGATTCCAGATTGAATGTTGTGAATCTCAAAACAGATCTCCAATCGATTGTAAAGAAGCCGTTCGAGACCATTGATCAGTATGTTCAACGCGTCAAAGAACTTAAAGATAAGCTTGCTAACATCTCAGTTGTTATTGAGGATGAGGATCTTATCATTTATACATTAAATGGTCTTCGTGTCGAATATAATACGTTTCGCACATCGATGCGAACTCTTTCTTCATCGGTCTCATTCGGTGAACTTCATGTACTTCTTGTATCAGAGGAAGTTGCGATTGATAAACAAGTCAAACGTGATGAGGCTTTCTCTACACTGACTGCTCTCTTAGTTGCTCAAAAATCACCTCGTAATCAGAACACTAATCCAAATGTTGGCCGTGGTCGAGGTTATTCAGGCAAATCTAAGTCAGTCAATCGAAGTAAATCTGCAAACACTAGTAATTCTTCTGCCTCTTATGGTCGTGGTCGTGGTAATTTTTCACCGAATCAATCTTTTTCTACATCTGGTTCACACTTACGACCTAGCTCAGATGGTTTCTCTCAAAGACTTGTTTGTCAAATCTGTCAATGTGTTGGACATACTGCGCTGGACTGTTACAATAGGATGAACTATAGTTATCAGGGACGACATCCTCCTACTCAGTTGGCTGCAATGGTAGCTTCTCAAAATTATGGTCACCTAGCTACTATAAATTCTCCATGGCTTGCAGATTCTGGCTGTAACGCACATGTCACGGCAGATTTAAGTCAATTCTCCAACGTATCTGAATATTCTGGTGAGGAGCAAGTCAGTGTGGGAAGTGGTCAGTCCCTTCCTATTACTCATACAGGTTGTGGCATTCTTAAAACTCCCTCTTCTTCTCTTACTCTATCTCAATTGCTTCATGTACCTACTATCTCTAATAATCTTCTCTCGGTTCATCGTCTTTGCCTTGACAATAATTGCCTTTTTATCTTTGATTCTGATAAATTCTTCATCCAGGACAAATGTTCGGGCAAGATACTCTACCAAGGCCCTAGCATCAATGGTCTCTATCCTATCTCATCAAATGCTTGTTTGTCTTCTTCAAATCAAGCTTCTGCTCACTTGAATTCCCCTGTCAAAAACTCTGCCTCTCCGGTTGCTCATGTTGGAACACAGGTGCCTTCATTCCTTTGGCATAGTCGATTAGGACATCCTCATGATTCTGTTTTGAATTCTGTTCTTCACATTTTACATTTACCAATCAGTAAATCTTCTCAATGCCTATGTAAACATTGTGTCTATGGTAAAATGCATCGGCTTCCTTTTCCAATTTCTACTAGTGTGWCTTTACATCCTTTAGAACTTGTCCATGCTGATGTATGGGGCCCTGCTCCTGAAATTTCAATAAATGGTTTCAACTATTATGTTTCATTTGTTGATGACTATTCCAAGTATACTTGGCTCTATCATTTGACTCTTAAATCTGGTGTGTTTGCTGCCTTTAAAAATTTCAAATCTCTTGTTGAAAATCTATTAAACTCTAGCATCAAAATACTTAGGACTGATGGTGGGGGTGAATTTGTGAATCATTACCTTGGCACTTTTTTACAACAAAGTGGCATATTTCATCAAAAATCATGCGCCCATACTCCTCGACAAAATGGTGTTGTTGAGAGAAAGCACCGACATATAGTTGAAACCGCTTTAACCCTTATGTCTCAAGCTTCTATACCTATCAAGTTTTGGCCTTTTGCCTTTGCAACAGCTGTTTTTGTTATAAACCGTCTTCCTTCTTCCTATCTTGGAAATCAATCTCCTTTTGAACTTCTGTTTCACAAACAACCTGACTATTCCTTTCTTAAAACCTTTGGTTGTGCATGTTATCCACTTCTTAAGCCTTACAACTCTCACAAGCTTCAACCTAAGTCCACCCAATGTGTCTTTCTTGGTTATCCTTTGGATTATAAAGGCTACTTCTATTATAATATGAGCATCGGGCGACTATACACGTCCAGACATGTTCTCTTCGACGAATCTGTTTTTCCATTTGCTAATCTACCTGTGTCTGCTTCTACTCATGATTTATCATCCTCATCTTCCCCTGTTAATTCGCTTCTTTTGGCATCCCTAATGTCACCATCAAATGAGTCTATTGGTTCGATTGATCCTTCTTTCACTGCTTCTTCTTCTTTAGAATATTCAGATATGTCTAATAACAATGAGAATGTTAGTGTTGCCTTTGAAACTACTGATCCCAGCTCATGTAATACTACTACGGGTGTTGCCTTGGAAGGTGTTAATCCTAGAACCTCTGTTGCACCCACTAATGTGCATCCTATGAAAACAAGGAGCAAGTCTGGGATCTCCAAGAAAAAATTATTTCTTGCTCATGTTTCTGATTTGTCTGAAGAACCATCCTCTTATACCAAGGTTTCTAAGATGGCTGAATGGAGACAGGCCATGAATGAAGAATTCTCTGCTTTGATTAAGCAGAACACTTAGGATCTTATTCCTTTACCACCCGAAAAAAATACAATCGGGTGCAAATGGGTCTATAGAATTAAAAGACATCCCGATGGCAGCATTGCTAGGTATAAGGCTCGCCTTGTTGCCAAACGTTTTCATCAACAAAAAGGTATTGATTTTGACGAAACGTTCAGTCCCGTTGTAAAGAAACCAACTGTCCGAATTATCTTGTCTTTAGCTACTCATTTTGGTTGGCAACTTCGACAATTAGATGTCAAGAATGCATTCCTTCATGGGGAACTTCAAGAGGAAGTTTACATGCAGCAGCCTCAAGGTTTTGTCGATCCTACAAATCCTTCTTATGTTTGCAAGTTACGTAAATCTTTATATGGTTTCAAACAAGCACCTCGTGCTTGGTTTGAATGTTTCACCACACATTTGCTAAAACTTGGGTTTGTGGCGTCTTCTGTAGATTCATCTCTGTTTGTCCGACTTGTTCATGGATCTTATACCTATCTCCTTTTATATGTTGACGACATTCTTGTTACTGGGAGTGATCCATCCTATATTGCTTCTCTTATAGTCCAGCTGAAATGTCGATTTGATATGACTGATTTGGAGGATTTAAAATATTTTCTGGGACTGGAAATTTCCTATACTAATAATGGCTTGTCTATCAGTCAAGCCAAATATACCAGAGATGTTTTGCAACGATTTGGGATCTTGTCTGCTAAGCCTTGCACTACTCCCATGAGTTTGTCTTCCACTACTGATATTGGTGCTCCTTGCTCAATTGAAGATATTCGGAATTATCGAAGTCTTATAGGATCCCTTCACTATCTAACATTTACACGGCCAGACATCGCATTTGCCGTTGGGAAGCTTTCCCAATTTATGCATGCTCCCTGTGAATCTCATTTGGTTGCTGCCAAGCGTATCCTTCGGTATTTGTCTGGATCTCTTCAGTTCAGCATTATGTTTCAACGGAGCTCTTCAAACTTAAGGCTCCATGCCTTTTCTGATTCAGATTGGGCAGGGGACTCACATGATAGGAGATCTACGTCGGGCTTTGTTATCTTTCTTGGCTCTAATCCAATTTCGTGTGGATCTAAGAAGCAATCCACAGTGTCTCGGAGCTCTACGGAAGCTGAATATCGGTGTTTGGCTTCAACAGCTGCTGAGCTATTTTGGGTTCGTCAACTTCTGAAGGATCTTCATGTATTTAGCACACAATCACCTGTTCTTTGGTGTGATAATGCTTCTGCTATACAATTAGCAAAAAATCCTGTTTTCCATGGGCGAACAAAACACGTTGAAATCGACTTTCATTTCGTTAGAGAACGTGTTGTGCGTAAAGACATTACGCTCTGTTATGTTCCCACAACTCATTGCAAATCTTTTCACCAAGCCTCACACTTCTGCTCGTTTGTTTTACTTTCGATCCAAACTACTGCTTCAGCTAGCATCCGTTTGAGGGGGGATAATAACTGATGACTTGTATTTGTTATAAAGTGGTTAATTATTGTTGTATTCTGTTACAAGTTTCAGTTGTATATGAAGTCTTTATATACTGATGTAATAATGGGAAATAAATGAGAAGCATATTCTCTTGTCATTAAGAGAATAATTTCATCTCCTGTTATTGTTCTTGTGAAAATTTTTAGTCTACCATCTCCTCCTCTTATTCGGTTTAGGAATCGAGAACCAGGTTAAAGAATCTTTATTTGGAGATGGGAATATTCATGGGAAAAATTATTGGTTTTGTAATTAATTTAATTATTTTTAGGATTTAAAAGCTGTAATAAATATATATTAATTATTTTTAGAATTATTCTTTACTATTATAAAATATATACTAATTATTAAAAAAATGAAATAAGAGATGAGTTTGGGACATATATTTCCTATTCTTGGAGTAGAGATCCGACCCTACGAAAATTTTTTAGAGACACGAAAAATACAAGCTTAGACCTTTTTAAAGAGAAATTTTGGAGATATAAAGAAAGAAATTTAGAAAAAGAAAATTTAAAGATAAAAAGAGGCAAATTTTAGAGGAAAAATACGTTAAAAATATAAATTAGAAAAAAATATTATAGTGAGAACAAAATTTAAAGATAAAAACAAGATTCGAATATACTTTTTAGAGAAAATAAATAAATAAAAGTTATAGCGAAAGATAATTGAACGAGAAAATAAGATATGATTTTTAGAGAAAAAATAGATTACAAAAAGAAAGAAAAATTAAAAAAAACAAAATTGCAGAAAAATAAAAAATCAAGAAAATATTAAATTAGAAAAAAATAAAAATATATAAGCGCTGAAAATTTTGGAGAGAGAAATAATAATAAATACTTAATATACTAAAATTTGAGAGAGAAAAATAAATTTTGTAGGGAGAAATTTTGGAAGAAAAAAGTTTTAGAGCATGAAAGAAATTTCTTAATGATAAATACGAGAAAGAAACGAAAAGTTGCATTAAAAAAATTAGATTTGTTTTAGAAAACTATTTCTTTTTTATTTTTGAAATTTACGTAGAGTTTCAGAATCGCTTTTGAAAAACCAAAAACAAAAATTTTAATTTACTAAATCTAAAAATCAAACTAATACAGGTGATTCATTTAATTGTTAATAATTAAGAGGAAATAGAATCAGTATTTCTTTTTTTTTTAAGGATCGGACGGTGGAAAACGAAGCGGTTACAAGAGGGATGAGATATCACGGCACAGAAACCAGCGCTCTTCGTTCATCCTGATAAATTTTTGCAGCAGCAAATTCGCCAACACCTCTCTATTTGTTATTCAATTGGAAGCTCTGAAGCCATTGAAGAGACGCTGTTGAGGTAAATCAGCAACCCACTGCTTCCTCTCTACGGATTTCAAATTGGGTGTATTGTTGAACCCTAAATTGCTTTTTGCCCTTTGTTGATCCTCGCGAATTCATTTCATCTGTCTTTTATCTTCTGTACTATTAGAAAAGTTGCTTCTTCCAGAGAAAACTGTGTCTTTGAATCTCATTTCTTCAGCAATTGGATGTGGGTGCTGTGTTTTTATCATCTAATATGCCTTTCTGCAGAGTTGCTTTCCACGGGAGAATTGTTTTAACCTTCTTCCACTGGACAGGAGGAAATTGTGTCATTGTAGTTTAAATTAACTTGTTCCGGCCATATGCATTTATGCTGAAGCTATTTTTGTCTGTTCATCAAGTGTTTAATCAAAACATATGGACTCTTGGATATGAACCAAGCTGGAGTTCATTAACCTCTTGCTTTAGTTCTATGTTAAAATACTATTTGATTGTTGAGACTATAGTTTAAAATCTTAGTTTGGTGGGTCTGTAAACTTTTGTATTATTTCGTTTCGGTTCGTGAACTTTCAAATATTCTATTTCTGTTAAGTCTTGGACAGGCATAAAAGACTATTCTAGTTCTTCTTATCATTAATTTTCTACTAATCATTTAACCAGACCTAAATTTATTTAAAAATTGAACTCCTAACCAACAGTAAACATTTTGTCTAAGTAGACATCTATTGATAAGGTAAATAACAAAAAGTATAGTGTGCTTCCATCGAGTTTCTATTATATAATTTATTAAAATTTAACAATAAATATTAAAATAATTGAACTTTCAGAAACCATAATAGAATACAACTCTTAAACTTGGAAATGTTAAGCATGAGAGTTTATGAAGTCTTGGTTTAAAAACCTGGTTTGAGTTCAGCTTTAGGAAGTCGTTTAGAAAAATGATGTGAAGGAGTAGTTGATGGGAGTAAGTTTGGGGTACAGTTGAAACTCGTAAGTTTGTCTGGCGACTTGGCAAATCCATGGGGCAAAAACAGGTTCGATCTTAAGTCAGACCCACCCAATCCAGACCTTCGCTCCAAACACCATCTTAGTGACTATAATAAGATTTAAACGCTACGAAATCCATTCTTCTAGCAATAATGATTATTCTTATCTCCAAATCTTCTCTCACCTCAAAAAGTTTGAACTGTTCTCAAAAGTAGGAAACCTAAAATTTAGAGCAATTGGGAAAGCTTCATATCTTCTTTTTCTTATCTCTTGTGAAGTCACTTCAAAACTACATCCAAATAGCTGACATATCTTTTGCCTGCAGTGGAATGCATGGCATCTCCAGCAACAGCAGATATCTGTGATGCAAACGCAGCACATGTGGCAAGCGGGGATCTGCGAGTACTGCAATCAGTATTCGAGATCTACGGGCAACGGCGGGCGTTTTCGGGGCCGGTAGCAACGGTCAAGGTGTTTGAAGACAATGTTTTGGTGAGACAGTTGCTTGAAAGCCAAGGTGAGGGTAGGGTTCTGGTGGTAGATGGGAATGGGAGCAGGAGATGTGCATTGTTGGGAGGGAATCTTGGGCAGTTGGCTCAAAACATGGGGTGGGCTGGCATTGTTGTGAATGGTTGCATAAGAGATGTTGATGAGATAAATGTTTGTGATGTGGGGGTGAGGGCATTGGGGGCAAATCCATTGAAGTCAAACAAGAAAGGGATGGGAGAAAAGCATGTGGCTGTACAAATTGGTGGGACTCTGATTCATGAGGGGGAGTGGCTGTATGCAGATAGTGATGGCATTTTGGTGTCCAAATTTGAGCTGTCTGTATGAATATTGAATACATAGATAGCTGCTGATTGAGCATCATGCACAAACTCTGTTCTGGTCTCAATTGGTTGTTTCTTAGGCTTCTGGCTCTACTTATGTTTATGTGAACTATTTCATATTTCTTTACCCAATATGTAACATTCAATGTATTTGTGATTCCAAATGAAAGGATGATTCGAAATTGAGTGTTGGTTTGTTCGTTTGTTTTGGAATCTACTTATTAGAAATTTAGAATGTTATAAAAGAAACCTGACCTGAGCAAAATTATATTGGCAGGCATATGAGTTGTAAGTTTGAATCTTTTTCCGTTTATGATGTAATATTGTCTCGAGAAACTAAAACAAAGACAATATTTTGAAGTTTTTTTCTTTTTTCTTTTTTGGTTGAGTTTAAGTTGCTTGGAAGTTGATTAGAAATTGTTTTTGCATTTCGTTTGAAAAAACATCTTTGATAAAATATACTTTTGCTCCCTGTGTTAGAGGACATGTTTTAATTTGATCCTTTAAGTTTAAATTTAAGTTTAAATAAGTGACAGTTTGATCTCCAACCTTTAGAAAATAGTTTTAAATTTCTCTCTCTACCCCCTTCTTCTCGGAGTTTGTTTTCCCTCCCCTGACCTCTCCTCTCTTTATAAAATATCTTTCCATGAAAACCAACTTGAGAGATGTGAGGAAAAGAAGAGAGAGAAAGAGGGGGAGAAATTAGAGAATAAAAAAAATTCCACATGAATAAAAATAACATAAAATTTATAAAATATCCAACTGATCGTTGCCACGACAACAAAAGTTTAACTTCAAGGACTTATTGTCACTTTTCGAGACGTAGGGATCAAATTGAAAATTATCCTCGAACTCAAGGATCAAAAGTGTATTTTACCCAAACATCTTTTGATGAATTTCGCACATGTTTTAATTTGTCTTGCTTATTTAGTTAAAGACAAACTTTAATTTAATTTTTCAAACAATTCAAGTGGCTATTTGCTATTAAAGGACTAAATGAACTTCCAAAACAGACTTTAATTCATTTAGCAGCATTAGGGAAAAAAGAAAGAAAGAAAAAAAAAAAAGACTAGCAACATTGAGAAGACAGATGTTCAAGAAAATAATGTTATGAAAAAGCAGCCAAAGGAAAGAAGAAAGCTTGAGACGAATCTTCCAATTAGAATCAAATTGTTACATTCACAGTGAGAATACTCTCATGCCGTAAATTTTCTACAAAAATTACCAACTAAAAAAATCGATCAATCACAATAGAGAACAATCAGAAGTAAAATAAAAAGTTATTGGTCGTCAAGAATGTTCAAATCCGGTCCTAGCTCCGACCTGAAACTCAAAAGGAAGACCTAGGGCAAAATCTCCGACGCTCAAGTCAGTAAGCAATTCGAACTCAATATTAGATTCGAGAAGAAATTCGATACCTGATGGTGAAATGAAGCCCTCTATTTATAGGTTTAAGTTTCGACAGGTGTTGCGACAGACGGTTACCTTGGTCAGATTTGAGGTCGAACATGTCGTGCTCCAACAGATCGAGCTCTGACACTTTCCTAGAAACGACAAACTAATCATAGGTAGGAAATAGCGAGTCTTCCACCTCGGAAGGTTCCGAGATGGAGCTCCATAAGTCTGTTCTTCCGGATCTTCCTTTAGTGGCGAATACTCGTCCTCCATGTGGCAATAAGATTTTTCCATCCCCAAACAATGAACAATAAGTTGGAGCCAAAGCGAGCTTAGCTCAGCGATAATTGACATATATTTCAAACCAAGAGGTTGTGAATTCAATCCCTACTCCTCGTGTTGTAAAAAAAAAATGGAAGAAATCATGATCAGGCATGGGACATTTGCTCCTCAAAAAGCTCGGTTTGACACACCAGATGAATCTATTGCCGACGATTATTCCCCTACCAAGTGATCATAGTTTAATAAAATCAATCATTCCCTCATCGAGCCATCAAATTAACAACTCCCACAAATACTCAACAAAATTAAATATAATTATATGCACCAAAAAGTCAGTAAGAATCATATACTAATCAATATTGATGTGGTATCCAAGTATGGTTTTTAAATAATTTTGATTTTGATTTTGATTTTTTGAATATGTTTTGGATGAACAGGGTTGAGCTCCTACATAATAGACTTGGAGATGAAGATGTGATTATTATTGGAGACATTCTGCCTTTTGTAGCGGCGGAGATCCTCTCCGTAAAAAACTATGTTCGGGTTGACATTATTTTGAATATTTATGACTCTGTATGTAATTATGTATTTTTTTTAGTACAAGAATACTCGAGAGTGGAAGTTTGAACACTCGACCTTTTTGTCATTTTTATTTAATAATGTATGTGTTTATCTGGTTGTCCAATTGGAATGACTAATTATGGTAAACTTATCCCTTTAATTTGAAAGCATGGTATCAGCAACCAAATATTCGATAGAAAAAATATCGTATATTTAAATCTCCACCTCCACATGCTGTTGCACGACAAAATGTCGAAAAGGCTTTGCACCACACTCGTCCCATCGCAAATMAGCTTGAATAAAGATAGCTTTTAACAAAATTAAACTCCTCTCAACCCCTTACCCAAGGACTAAACATAAAAGGTCAATTATGCAAAATCACTTAGATTGATTTTTAATAATATAAAATATAATTGCCAATTTGATTCGTTAAGTTACGTATTTTGTACAAAAACTATGAGTTCAAATTTCTATTCACACATATTGCATATTGTACTAAAAATATATATATAAAAGAAAATGACAAAAATACACCTACTTTTTTTTATTATTACCAGTAGGAAACACATGCAGTGCACGTGAAATTTTATAGTTCTATTTTAAAGTTTGAAAATATAAAAATTAATTAAATAGTTAAAATTTTTAATATAATTTGATTCTTTTATCTCTCAATGTTTATCTCACTGAGTTTTTTGTATTTTTCATGTTTATCTCGTAAAATCGATGTCTCAATAATTCTCATCACCCACAGATCGGCTGGTGTAAGTAAAAAAAAAAATGGAACGTGTCGATTACTTGAAAATTTTCCATAAGTAAAATACAACACGCAAGAATAAATGACTTAATATTATTCGATTACTTAATTTTTTTTCTAAAAAAACAAATATTCATGGATTTTTTTTATATTTTTTTGTTCCTAAGATAACAATGCATAAAATGAAAGAGAACTTTGTTTTGATTTCTTATTTGAGTCATTGAAAAAGAGAATGACAAAAAGAAAGAAAGAAAGAAAAATCGGAAGTATGTCCTCTCTTAAACTTTTTAATAAATTACTTATATATTGTAGGTAATGAAGTATTCTTTGGAATAATAATTACTAACATTGCATTGGAAAAAAAAAACTAAAAGTTGAATGTTAGGTCAAAGAATATAACTAAAATATAAGAAAACACAAAGACATTGACTAAACGAGAAAACATACCTAAAGAGAAAATTAGACTCAAGTTTTGACGAGGAAATTGAGAGAAAGAGTGAAAATAGCTCTTTATATAGCGGTAGAAAATAAAAAATTACAAATCTTTTGAAATTTCTTATTAATTATAATAAAAAATAAGTTATAATTTTTTAATCAATTCACAGAAACAAAGACAAAACTATACATATTCTAACTCTTTGTATTCTAACCTTCGTGAGAGAGAGAAAAAATTAATTTGAGAAGAGTGAAAATTGTAACGATGAATATAAAATATTTTGAAAGAAATGAAAAAAAAAAAGATAAATGGAATGGTGGTGTCAGGCGTGAGATGTAGAAAATGAGAGAGAAAATTTTATATTTGAAATACAAAATTGCCTCGAAATAAATATGAAAATGTTTAAACTAAAAAGATAAAATAAGGAGAAAAATTTCTCCATATAACCCTAGAATAAATGGACACACCACTAAACCATATGTATTGTGCTCGTTTGGTAAAGTTCCTGTTTTTTGTTTATGTTTCTTTATTTTTAACGAAGAAAAATGTGTTGCATAATTTTAAACTCCAAGAATTTAACTATGATAAAACAATATTTTTATTTATGTTTTGGAATAAATTGGAAATAGGAAAAGAAAAGAGAAACTTGTTTTGATTGTTCCAAAAATTTCTATACAATTGTAAGAAAGCTCCCAAAATAGGAGGAACAATAAAAAAAAATAGTTATAAAATGCTTAGATTTCTTAAGAAAATTGTGAGAAACAACAAACGGGAACGTTACCAAATAGGCTCTAACGGACCCAATTTGTGCTATAGATGCATGCATATGCAACAAATAATTAAATAAAAATTTTAAAACAAAAATATCCTTAAAAAAACTAATGTAAGAAAAAGAAAATAAAAATATGGCATACACGTATAAAAGAAAACTCAATAAATAAGAAATAGTAAAATTAAAAGTGACGAGCAAATGACGATTTAACATAACTCAAATAGTTAAGTTATCTATCTCCAACTTAAAAATCCTCAGTTCGAATCTCTACCTTCGATATTGTACTCAAAATTAAAAAAGAAAAAATTGATGAACAAAGGAACTAAAAGTAATTAACAACTAAATCATATATGATAAATAAGAGAAGAACAAAATAATAATAATAATAAATGAAGAGAATATATTGAAAGATTAAGAAATTTAGATGGTTGTTTCTAACTTTTTATTTTTAAGATTTTATAAGTTCTCTCTCTAAAATATATATTTTTTCCTAAAGTCTTTCTCACGCCTAATTCTCTAACATATATTTCACTCCCTAACTTTTCTGTTTTTAGTTTTTTTTTTTTTTTCATATTTTAACCGCTTCAATCTTCAAACCCTAAACCATCCATAAAAATCTGCAATTCATGTTTTGATATACACTCAAATCGTTCGTCCCATCTCGAATACTTGATTTCTTCAGTGTCCTTGCGAATTTTAGAACTCTCTAATTTAGATCATAATTTGCTTCCATAAAACCAATCATACCCAATCATCAAACCCAAATCATGGATTTGAAGAGATCGAATCACCGCGGAAGCGATTGACTGCTTGTGATTCAACTCGATTTAGAAGTTATATGTTACCAGTTTTTTAAAACAAAACAATTCTATTCTAAATTAGAGGTTAAGCCTCTTGGAAAAGAATATAACTTATTTTGTAGACCGTGAACGAATCTTCTTCCTCGAGCACGAATTTTGTAACAACACGAATAATTCTCCACGAACTCAAGATTGGACACCACCTCCAAGCTA